GAGGGCTTATTTGCCACTTTTTTAGTTCAGGGGCTTATCACTTGCTGTCGAAAAAGTTGAGGAGCTTAAGATGGGTTTTTGCCGGTTATGGCACTCTTTACAGCTATTATTTTTATTGTTTTATTATTATGAAAATTGTTAAATTTTAATTTTAATTTAATTGTTAAAAATATTTAATAATTAATAAGATAATTAATATTTATTATTTAATAAATTAAAATTAATTTATATAATATTTTTAAATATTATAATTAAATATTTAAAAAAATTATAAATTAATAAAATTATAGATGAAATGAGTTCTTTTAAAAAAATTATTCGTAATTATGACCTTAGCTATCATATTTTTATTTCTCTTATTTTTCTTCAAAGTTTTTTTTTTTTTTTAATCGGCCCTTCTTCAAAGTAATCAAATGCTGTACCAATTTTACGGGTTGTTATTGCAACAACTCTTTCTGTTAAGATCACAAATAATATAATAAATATATAAATATATTTAATCAAGCTCTTTTTTGTCAAGGTTACATAAATAATATTATTTACACCTAAAAATAAACCAATGAGAGAAAACCACGTGTCAAGTTAAAGTTCAACTATCAATAAGAGTTAGCAGGTTGAATTAAGCTAAGCTAGTTTAAAATTTAAGGGCCCAGATAGAATTTTAAAGAGGCTAGATTTTAGGTGGCAGAAGATAAGGAAATTTATGATGGTTGAGTTTGATCTAAATTAGGAAGTTGAGGGTTTTTAGGAGAAGAATGTTACTAGGGTTTTATTGAAGACAAGATTGAAACAAAACTATCAATTGCCAGACAACTGCTAGACAACTGCTCGAACATGGAGTTCCCACTACTCGACCATGGCGGGAGAGGGCCGAAAAACATGGAGGAGGTTTCCTAGCACCGAATAAAAGGAAAACAAGAGGAAAAATCAGAACACAGACAGACAGACAACTTGCCCTACAGAAATTGCCTAGAGCATGTCTTTTTCAACTTTTAGTCTGTTTCTTCCATATTTCAACATAGTTGCCAGATTAAAGTGGAAGACCAGTTATTGTTCATAGTTTTAATTTAGGTTTTTCTTGTTCTTGTTCGTGTTTTCTCTCAAATATTGCAACTTCAGTTAGTTTTTAAGCATTTGGAAGTGATTCAGCCTTGAAAATAGGTCTGCTTTGTTGGTTTGGTTAGTTTTCCTTTCTTTTATGGATTCATCTTTGTTATTTGTTTATGTAAAAAGGTTGAATGCTTTTTGCCTTCTTTTCTTTGTTTCTACACAACTGCTAAACTTGCAACTTGCTTAATTTCAATTTCTAGATTAAAGTTTAATTTTACAAGTTTCCAAACTTTGAGTACTTCATAAATTCTCTTTCAGACTTAGCAATCAAGTTGTTCGATTATTTTTATTTTAAAGTTGCATGTAATTACTTTAATTGTTATGAATTACGTAGTAGAAATCATTGTTTGTGATTTTACATATTCTGATGTCTGTGAGTTTAATTTTTGTAGCATGTTATTCTCTTTTATTTATTTTGTGTTAACTTAATTGCCTTAGGATATTGCATTTATTTTAGGATTTGTAGTTTTTGTTACATTTTTGTAGTTGTAAAGTCCTTGAAGGTGTCCAAAGCAATTAGTAATCCATTTTGTAAAACTCCACTCTTTGTTTTGCAACATTATCCTGGGGTGCAGTTTATTTTACAAAAGTTCTTTCTAGCCATCCTTTGGGAGGTCAACCATTGGAGAAGGATTGTCTAAAAAATCCTATTTTCTTGTTTTTAGATAAAGCAAGTGGCATTCTTTATTCCTAAGCTCACGTGGTTAAAGTCGGCTAAGGATTTTTGAAGAAACAAATATAATAAATATATTCAATTCAGTTAATTTCATTAATTTTTAATCTTTCTAAAGAGGAGTATTATAGATAATCTTTGTTACACTCTTTTTTAAATATTCTTTATGTTATTGTGTCATATAAAATATAAATTTAATGTGATTGGTTAACATTAAAGTGAATGTTTTTAAAATTTGAAATTATAATTAATCATATTAAATTTATATCACACGTGTTTCAATCACATAAAGAGTATTAGAAGAAGAGTGTTAAAAGTGAGGGTTCTTAGCATTCTTAAAAAAAAAAAAAAAAAGGGAAAAGAGGAAAAACAACTCATTATGGTGTTTTCGACATATCAATTTGTAGGTAAATTTTATTATATTAAGTAATAAATATTAATTATGTTATAGGTAGTAGCTACAATTACCAACTAATTAATCATACAAATATTTTGTGTGGGGTTAACAAAAATTTTGAGGCAATAATCCCTCACCATCCCTCAACTTCACTCCTACTTTTTAATTGGGCTAAAACTTTTGATTGTTAAAAATAGTTTTTGGGTGAAGATGGAATTTGAAACTCTAATTATTGTGGTTGTCAACTTTTTATTAAAGGGTGTTTTTAATATGTACCTTATAGCAAAGTTAAATGTACAATTAATGTATTTTCTATAATTGATTTATATTAAAAAAATTGATCTTTATTTAATGTAATCAATTAAAAACATATTCATAACATTACGTAACATTAGTATTGGAATTAATATTATTTATGTAATTTATATTAGATTTTGAAAATGAATTTTTCATCAAAATGAAAAGATCAGCCCAGGCGTGTAGCAAGAACCACAAAGGAGAAGTGAAAACGGAAACAGGACAACAACTCAAAACAGCAGTTACTCCAAGCCAGCAGAGGGTAAGAGCAATATGGAAATGAACAAAAACTCTGCTAAAGTGACGAGCTCAATTATAAAATCCATTGATTGAAATCAACACCTCAAAAACCTCATTTAGTTGTTGATATTATCTCAACAAGATGAGGTTTTAAAGTGTCCATTTCCGTGTAGGGATTTTATAATCAAGTTCACCATTTTAGGATGAGTAATTGCTTACTGAAATCTACTAGCAATTGCGTATTGTAGACAAACTTGTGCATGCAAGTGTGGGGTAAACCTGACTAGAGGCACTTAGAAGAAGTATAGGTATAAGAGATTGTCAAAACCAGCAATCTGTTCATTGGCCTATGCATGGAACAGACGTTTAAATGAAGGGACAAAGTGTAAAGGAAAGATCAAATGGGATTTTTTTCTTCTCCTTCCTGTCTACTTTATTGCCTGACCTTTTCTACTTTGGATTTAACATTTCCCGAAACTTACTGTGTTTTTACTGGTCTGGAACGGCTATTATCAGCATTGCAATAACCCACCTGGGAAATTATTCATTGCCTTTCTCAATGGGGAAGAAAAAAGGTTGACCCTACTGAAATACACAAGTTCAAAATAGGACAGAAAACTTTAGTGCCTTATTTCCAAAGAAAACGAGACGACGTGCCCCATCGAAATATACCGGTGCAGAACACATGAACAGACAACAGAAATCAAAACTGAGATACATACATCTAATAAAATCATAAAATCTATGTAACTGGTCATTATATATAAGCATGACAAAAGCTACTTCATCTATCTTTCACCACAAGTTCACCACAAAGAGGCCAAGGATGTTATCAAAAAATGCTGGCTTCACTCTTTTAGCTTTATCTCTTTTGTGGATCTCATTGAGGGCCTGTACCGCAGATAACATACCTCAAAAATATGATCCAAAAAGCATGGAGAAAAGATTTGAGCAATGGCTGGCAAGATATGGTATACAGTACAGTGACAGGGATGAATGGTTGATACGTTTTGGAATTTACCAATCCAATGTTCAGCTTATTGACTACATCAACTCTCTGAATTTATCATTCAATTTGACTGACAACAAATTTGCAGACATGACAAATGATGAGTTTAAATCTATATACTTGGGTTTTCGGAGCAAACAACATTCAAGGGAAAGCAAAAGCTACCAACGTGAAGTGTATTATGATTTGCCCGATAGCATTGATTGGAGACCGAAAGGTGCTGTCACTCCAATCAAGGATCAAGGCCAATGCGGTATGTACATTGCTGTTTCCTTTTTTAAGATGTTGAATATTCTGATATGTAACCTATAGATGTTAAGAAGATTAATACCAGACCTATATTTCCATTTCACTTGGACCACACCATTGTATCAGTACAAAGTGTGTGCATGTGTTTGTGCTTGAGGAACACAGTAATGTCATTAGGGGAATTCCCAAGAGTAGTACCACAATGATAAACATCAACTTTCATCTACTTCTCAAATTTTGAAACTGTTTTTAGCTGGGTTTTTGAAAATTGAGTAAGGCTTAATGCCCCAGTGTCACATTAGCATGAGATAACAATGACTACCTTTTGAATGCAGGGAGTTGTTGGGCATTCTCTGCAGTCGCTGCTGTTGAGGGTGTAAACCGCATCAAAACAGGAAAATTGATCTCACTCTCTGAACAAGAGCTTGTTGACTGTGATGTCAAAAGTGGAAATCAAGGCTGTAATGGTGGATTAATGGAGAATGCATTCGAATTCATCATGAAAAATGGACTGACCACTGAGGATGATTATCCGTACAATGGACTTGATGGGTCGTGTGATGAGAAAAAAGTTAAAAGGCATTCAGTGACAATAAACGGATTTAAGACAGTAAAAAATAATGAGACAAGACTACAAGCCGCAGTTGCCAATCAGCCTGTATCTGTTGCCATTGATGCAGGAGGATATGGTTTTCAACTGTACTCTGGAGGTGTCTTCACTGGATCTTGTGGATATGAGCTCAACCATGGAGTCACAGTAGTTGGCTATGGTAAAGATGGTAGTAGAAAGTACTGGCTTGTGAAGAATTCATGGGGCAAATTCTGGGGTGAATCTGGTTACATAAGAATGGAACGTGACTTCAAAGATAAAAGAGGTATTTGTGGTATTGCTATGGAGACTAGCTATCCTGTTAAGTCTTAAAAGCATCATTTTCATTCCTGTTGAAGGAAACTTGGTGTGTCATTTAAAACATTCTTCTACATTATAACTTTTAGGAAAAGTAGAAGTTAAAAAGGTAATAAGAATAAGATTCGTGCCAAGCTGACTACACAAATCAATTTGGTTCAAACATATATAAAGTGGGTTCTATAAATTCTCTTGTGTAACATGGTCTCCATTGAATATTTTCAATCATAATTAAGAAATATTGTTCTAGTACTTCCTCTGTTCTAATGCTGGCTGCCAAAAGGACTAATGGGTTTAGAAACCTGAAATTGAAGATACGTTAAGGCAATCATTTCTAGGACTAAAGCAATTTAACGACTTTACGTTTTCTTAGGTCGATTCTTATCACCAAGATGTTATTATTAACTTCATAATTTCTAACACCTCACCATTTTTTTTTTCCACTTCAGATTGAAATTCTAATTTCTTTATGCGTTTTATTGAGATGCAAGAAAACTTGGTAAAATTCTCCAACAACGCATCTCAATTTCTGGACACAGCATGATAGAAATGCTATTATTTTTTTGACCAATAATAGATAGAAACGCTACTATTGCAAGTGGTATTTTCACAAAATTACCTAGATTAGATACCAATGACCAATTTTGACCGAGTGGCAGTGATAACTTCAACATACATATGGTACCTATCATCAAAAAGTATGAGAATGTCAATAGATTAACTGCAAAAATTTAGACGAGTAATGTTCAGTAAGTTCTATTAATTTTTTACTGATGTGAAAGAGAACAATAGAAAACCACAAAGCAAAAGGTAAAAGATGTTCTAAAGAAATGAGGCAATAAATATGTGGACTAGAGAGAGCTGAAAAAATCTGAGAGAAATCATTAAGTTGCAATCAGAGGGCAGGAATGAATGTTCAAAGAAGCCATCACTGGTGATAATTGAAGAGTAAGAGTATTAAAAAAAAAAAAAATTGAAGCTAGCAGAGATTAAGAAATATCTTACTGTCAAGTATTGCACATGCAATGGCGAGACTAGAACTAATTCATGAAACAATTTAAATCATGCATTTCCAAAATTGCAAATAGTAACATGAATTTTCCTGAAAACAAGCATTGGCACCACACAAATGTTTGTGCTGACAAGGTAACATAATTAGGATGTTTCCAACAAAAAAAAAAATTCAAAATTCACATTGTCTTTGCTTCCAATTTCACATATAATGTGTGAGATAATCTTACGGTAGGCAACACTAAGTTGTCCAGCTTAACAGCACAGGCAGCAGATTATCAGTCTGATTGCACTACCGTATGAAGAAATCTGAGAGAAGAACCAGTTACAAAAGATTGGTTTTCAGTCGTAGAATTTTCTCCCTCAATCTAGATGTCACCAGGAACAGTTACTGAATATATCTCCTCAACTGCAGTAAATTATGCAGCTCACATTTAAATGAAATGAGAACAGCTAAGAACCCAGTTCTACTAATCTTTGCCTCACAGCGCAAGCAAGAGTCCACTCACCAACACCAGCCAAACCCTCAATAACCTTTTGCCTAACTCTGATATATGGTATAAACCCTTTCTCTGTCATTGCCATCACCACCTTGCCTGCCAGAAGGTACTCACGACACTCTAAGCACCCCTCAACCACTAACTCATAGCTTTCAAACCCAACAGTGTAACCATTCCTCTCCAAGAACTCAATCATCTCAACAGCTTTCCATATCTCTCTATTTGCTCGCAGAGCTGCGGTCACTTTCACCACCGTTCCCTGCCTTGGTGTCAATCCAGCTTTCTCCACCATTTGTTTCATCAACTCCACTGAATCACCAGTCCTCCTAACTGTGCACATTGTGCTAATTACAGCACCATAACTCTCGAAGTTAGGAATACAACCTATGCTACTCATACTCATCAAGACTTTAACTGCCTCATCCAACTGATCAATAGCACACAGAGATGATATTATGTAATTGCACGTGCCAGAGTCAGGATAATATCCAATCTTCTGCATCTCCAGGAGGATACCAGAAACTGACTGAGATTGGTGGCGGTGGTCAAGCCATGCAGAAGAGAGAAGTAGGTGTGCTTGGGGAATAGGAAGACAACCAGAATGAATCATGCGCTGGAGGATGGCAAGAGCTAGGGGAAGAGGATGTGGACTTTGGAGGGTATATAAAAGAAGATGGTTATAGGTAAGCTGGGGGCGGGATCGAGGTCTAACAGGTATAAAAGATTGTAACATTTCATCAATGATTTGGATTCTCATATTCTGAGGAAATGTGGATAGAAATGAAAAAGGATTTCGGTTACCACAAGTTTCTTTTAGAGAAATCAAAAGGTCAGGGATGTTTTGATAGGTTTTGGCCTCAACTGCATCTTTAATAGTCTGTTCAATAGACTCAGCTGATGTGGTTGAGTGAATTGAGGAAAAAAGTAAAAGACGGGGGTAACAATTAATAACAGTTTTGAAGAAAATTGTCGGTCTAGTCACCATCATCATGTTTACAGGCATAGAGAGCGTGCAGGCACTACAATGTTAAACGTGCAAGACTGATTATGAAAAAAATTTCTATTGATCAATAAAATGAAATAGAAAATGAAACTATACATGAGAAAATAGAGCATACAACAGCAGACAATGCAGGGAATAGAAAAAAAGAAACATATGCCAAAGACTGACATTTTCCAAAATGAAATACCAAATGAGGTATCATTTTTTTGTGCTGTGGTGCGAGGTTTTCCTCATTATAGAATCCAAATAGTAAAAGACCCTGCTTTGATGGGATCATAAATAAACATAAGAAAAAGATTTGTCTGCCATGCCAAATATAAAGAAAAACTCATAATGAAATTTGATTTATTGGGTGATGTAACGCCATTTCAGTCCATGGTGGATCCAATAACCGCTGCATTAAGAAATTATCAAAGGGATAACAAGGAAAAAGAAGCACTGCTGATATGAATAAAAAGATATTCTTTAGACTTTAGAGCTTTGTGCCATATTCATCTAGAGGGAGGTGGAATTCCAAACATTCTACAGGCACCAAAATCACCATTTATATGAAAATAAACACAACTAAAAGATTGACTGATACATGGAATAAAAGATGACCCCTCATCCATAAAAGCTGTTGAACTTTAGGCAACTAGGTTGAGTTGATGAAACTGCTAAATTGTTACTAAACAAATAGTATCAAATTGTAAATGCAATCATTTGAGAAATATGGCAAACCCTCTTAGAATTTCCCTTTTCCTTCTTTCAATCTGTTCTTCTCCTAAAAAAAAGGGAAAAAAAAGGAAAAACCCCTCCTTTGAGATTTAGGAACCCCAGAATTATTCAATAATTTCATAAAGAAAATGGAATCATTACTGAGGACTGAATAAGGAGGAGGAAAAGTAGCTGAGCCGAAGCAATGGAATGGCCGAATTGGTGTTAATGGGTGGGGACATGATGAAAGAGCCTGCTAGCGAAAGAGGGAAACGGAATACCTAAACTCAGCAATAAATTCACATCTCAAACAATCACGCCCTAAACTCCGGGAATTTAGGAATGAGAAACGGAATACCTCAAAGACTTAAAATCCCTTTCTGGTTCAGGTCGCACTCTTTCACTTCGTTCTCCGATTGGCGGCCGCCTGCTCACTGAGACTTCTCCTTGAGTTCTACTCTCTTCGGTTGCTCTGTTCCTGCTCTAGTCTCTTCCCTTCGCTGCTTGCAGCGGTTGCAGACTAGGAAAGTTTGGATGATTCTATCTGCAGAGAGTTACGAGGAGGTGGCTGCTGTGGCGGGGAGGAAGAGAAGCGGAGGAGAGTGTTGGCCGCTGCTAATGGTGATGATCGCCGATCGGCGAAATATGGAAAAGGCGATGCTGGCGGTAATGATTAAACGTTTCACAACTTAAACGGGCTTTGGGTCAAAGTAAAAGAATATGGATTGAGTGAGTAGATTAGGCCCCCTTTTTTTTTTTTTTTCTAGTTTTTTGCATTTTGTTGGGCTTGGGATGGATCTATTGTGCTTGGAATTCATGTTTTATTGTTTAGATTGTACATTAAAAGAATAATTTGATTTATGAATTTATTTAAATATTTTTAATGAAATTAATTTTTATATTATTTTATTAAAAATACTTTAATAAATTTATAGATTATACTATATTTTTAATATGTAACTCACCGGGTAAAACACTTTTGTATTTGTTTTGTTTTTTCCTTTTTTTTTTTAGGCCCTCTTGTTCCCCATGCTAGGCACTTGAGTCCTTCTAATATCCTGTCTTCTCTTAACCCTCTCGTTACATTTTATTTTGCTTGTAAAAATATTTCGTGAAGCAAGATAAAATAAATAAATTAGACATTTTTAGTTAAAACAATTTTTCGTTTTGTTTATAGACTTTTTAATGAATTTTTTATTATAAATTTTCTTTATTAGTGAATGTTTCACTTTCACATTCATTTTCTTCCATATTATAACACACTCTACTAAGGTAATTCAAAACCCTATTAAGGTGTTATTCATAACTTCACTAAAGGTTATTTAAGGTGCTATTCATGGTGCCATTCATTCTCCCATTTAAACTTATTTAATGGCCAATGTAATCCCACATGTCTCTTAACCTATATATAAACCTACAAATCTGTGTGATGAATGTATGGAAGAGTGCACGATAATATAAGAAATCTTTACTTTTGCTTTGTTATCTTACTACTCCACTTCTACTTTGTTACTAACTATCTTACTACTCTTCTTTTTATTTTATAAGATTTTTGAGATTTTTAAGCTATTTTCAATATTTTTATAGAACACTTTAAAGTAAAATTAGGTAAAACAAATCAAGTTATGACAGCCTCAAATCCAAAATAAAATTTCCATAAAACCTCAAATTTCAAGTAAATTTCTCACGGTAATCAAATTAATTAAGCAATGAAAAATTAAATCTATAAAATAAAAAAAATAAAAAAAAGATACATAAAACAAATGAAAGGAATTTCCTCCCGTCATAAATAAATAAATAAATAAAATCAATAGTCAAGAGAAACTCCTTGATATTGATGATAATTTTACACTTACTATTATCATGTCAGAGGCCATCACTAACTGCGTCGCTACTCTCTACTCTATCATGCTGTCCATCTACCATGTTACTATTTGTCCGACTTGGTGTAATTGCAACAAACTCAAGAGCTTTCTTTCATCTAGGTCTTCCCTTTGGTTTAACTTGTAAAACTTTGAGATTGGTCCTTAAGATAAATACTTCGATAACTAAGTTAACACTAATCAAATCTGTTAAGAAGAGAACAAAAACAAAACTTGAGATCAGCTGCAATTACTTTGGCAAAGAATCTTTGAAGGTATTTATAAGTTTTAATGAGGTGTTTATGTGTTTATCTTAGTGAATAATCGGAATCCATTGTGGCGATTACAGTGAAAATCTCGTGAGTTCGGGGGCTAGTTCGAGAAGGTGAGTAAAAGTCCCAGTGATGGAAAGGATTACCATCACATTTGGTAGGGCAGCTCAACAAATGAGGCAGGGCGGTGCAACGCCCACCCTCGAATACAAGTGCCAGTTATGGAAAGGATTCTTAGGTAGAGTTTGTTACTTGTTAGTGAGTTGAGTTATTAACCGATTTATTCATAATTCTTAGGCCATTCGATTTACACTTGATTCCTTTTTTTGGTAAACGAGGTTGAGTTTAAACTTAAACTTATTAAGTTTATTAGTTCAATACTTTTAAAAAAAATAGAGTAAGATCAATTTACATTGATACAAGTGTATTTAACTTTTACCTTAATTTTAAGCCATACATACATTTTAAATTTTAAAAGGTTGTTTACCAAAAGTGTTGCATTAATGCTGAAATTTTATAATGAGTAGCTAAAAATTAACATAACAATTACATTGCTATAAATTAGTAAAAAAAAAAAAAAAAGAAGGCAAAAAGACCCATAGCACTAGCAGTAGCCATTTCGCCTATAACACATGCTGCCAACACAATCGCTACGAGGGCATCAACAAAGTTACCCCTACAAGCAAGTTTTATCATTAAGTGTATTGCAAGTATGCATTAAAAAATGTGTCTGTATACAAGTCTCAACCTAAATTTCGGTTCGGTTCATACAAACTGAACTTAACGCCCATCCCTGGATGTAGGCCTAGACCTAGGCTTGCTGATAGAAGTATATGCCAAACCAAGTACATATTGTGTGTGATTTTCTTTTTTTATCGCTAATGTTTACTTGGCACATTTTCTTTCAATTGGTACATCAAATAATCAACTATACAATAAGAGATAACTTTCCTTGTTCCCAATTCCCAAACGCCTCCCTAACTATTTCAGGATTCAAATTTAAGATTTCCAACATGGAAACTTTAGCTCTTAACCACTGAAACATTCCCTAAGGGGACTACTTGGCACATTTTCTTTCCCTGCACTCCCTGCATGATACTTCAGCCCCATATTTGGAACGTCAAACAGGCAAATGCAAAAGCAAATAAATGGATTTCGATAGAACATGATTGAATATATATGAGACAATGCTAAATATCCTGTGTACTAGACCATTTTGTACAAAATGTTTTTGATTCCTAATCCCATCAGATGGTTTTGCCTGCCCTTTCCACCCAAGATCAAAACATTCAACTCACTCTGTCTTCGTGATTGCTGCAACCAAGACCATGAAATGAGTTGAATCTTATCAAGCTTGGAAAAGTCACAATGGTGTTAAATGCAAGCATTTAGGTGAATCAGCTACAGAACAGGACTAAAATATTGTTGGTGTTGACAAGGAGAAAAAAGAAACTAAGGGACCTGGTGTTAGAAAGATAGTAGAGTATTGGATCTTAATTGATGATATCGAAATATTACCAAGGACAGAATTGTGAACCAATGTAGATGCTTTCAATGGTGACGTCTTCTTTTTGACCTGAGATGCCGACGGAATATTCTCCATATTACCAGAAACCCAATGAGGACCACCTCCAGTATTGCAATCATCTTCAAACCTAGAATGAACAAACTTCAAGTTTCATGAGTTGTTTTTTACTGAAATTAACTGATAAAAATCCCAATACCTTTAAGCTTCTCAATCAAGTCATCCAAATGAATTCCATCTTTCCTTTCATTTGCACCAGCAGAGTGAACATTACTTGCAGAAATATAAGTTTCAGTTTTGTACTCAATGTTCCCACCCATGACGCACATATTGGGACACTTGATACCACTATCATATTCATCACTTCCATCACAGCAATCTGCACAGATGATGAATTAGAAACAGCTATTTTAAACAGAAAATAGAATAAACTTAAACTAATAGATGCTAAGAGAAAACATCCAATCAGGGGAAGTGGTAACATATCAGGTTCAGTACCATGGAATTTTGGCAGTTTATTAATGATGCAAGCCTAGAACTATGTCCACTGTGCAAATGTTAGCCAAAATTTTGGATGCTGAAGACCTGAAATTTACAAAAGCAAGAGGTGTTGGTAGTATAAGGTCTAGATATGACAAAGCCATCTAGTTAGGAACTAGGTGTCCAAGTTAGTTGGTTCCAACTTAGTTCTTGATTTCGGATTATTAATTGGTTATGAAGGAAACATCTGCTAATAGTCAGAAACTTAGTAGTCAATCATATTTCATGCAAAAAGAAATACTTTCCTAAACACATAAGTAGCTAACAAGCTGATCAAAAAGAAAAAAAAAGGCAGCATAAGTAGCTAACAAGCCTAAACGCTAAACCATCTAAAACACATTGATTGAATAATTCAAGCAGCTTAACCACTTGTTTTGATCAAAGAAATGAGGGAAAAAATGTTGTCTTGTGAAGGATACTCACCACAAAAACCATCATTAACATGAGAAGAGAAAATGAACAGAGGACTACTCCCTTTATTCCTGCAGTAAAATTTGCCGGCTGGACAAGCTGAAGTTCCTGTAGACAAGAATAATGCCAACATCACTCAACAAAGCAAGAAACCAAAATAAATAAATAAAAGAATTTGAATGCACACTTCTAAATTTCCAGCCAAAACATCCTTTTATGCAAGACCAAAGCAGCACCAACACAGTTTTCTTTTTCTCTTTTTTGATGGGCGCCAACATAGTTTTCTGAAAATGTCCTCCAATTTTTCAAATAGTGTGGAAATTGGGCATGTGAGTTTCATCACAAGGGCTTCAATCCAGTGAAAAATCAATGGGCCTTCTTCCTTGTTTTTAACTCAAATGTTTCTTTGTTATTTTTCCAAGGTGAGTTTTTCCCACTTGACAAAAAGTTGTTTTCAGCTTCCAAAGGTTAGAAGCTGAGACTCCAAAACTTTGTTAAAAACCAAGAACTACTCTCAGGCATACCCGGTGATGCAGGGAAGGTAGGGGTAGAACAACCAAAAACTAGGAACTCCGTAAATTAAAGATCAAACCAAGAAAACTTAGGTTTTCAACCTCAAGTTTATTCTCAAATTAAAATTTCATAACAAAAAAACTGTTCTTGAAACCTAAGAAGAATAACCATATATACTAACAAGAGTTAAGAATCCTAATTCAATCCTAATTTGAACTTCTAATAAACTATGAACTCCTAATAAGCTACTAATTCTAATCCTAATTAAAAATGACTTTCCTAAAATTAAAACTTAGACTCCAAATAAAACTCAAACTTAATGCAAAACAAACAGCCCTAAAACTAATCATTAAAAAGAGCTCTATGCTCCTGCATCACGCGGGACACAATTTTTATCAATTTTTCTGTTGAGCTCAGGAATTTAATAAATTTTATCAATTTCTAAAATTTTTTGGCTGAGACCATATCTACTCAACTTCTACAAAAGCTACGGCTAGGCCAACATACTTTTACATTCAATTCATCCCCAGCACACCAAATTAGAATTGTACTTTAGTTAATAGACAAAATTAGAATTATGTGGAAAATACCAGGCTCATCGGTTCCGTCAACGCAATCACAGTAGTCGTCATTAAGACGGTCCCTGGTAAAAGAATTTGATCCATCCTTACACTTGATAATCTCCGCAGCATAATATTTTTCATCTGCACGGAACAAAGTCAAGAAAACAATCAAAAATTGAAAATTACCTCAAACATTTTGGAGATTTGGGTATGCTTCAAAATCAGAATCCAAGACTTGTACTTTGTGTGTTGGGTGTTAAAAAAAATGGAACCCATTGAAGGAGAAAGCGAGGGTACCTAAAGGGTGGACACCAAGAGGCGGAGGTATTAAGTGAACAGAAGCAGAGAGGAAAGAGGAGAGAAAAAGAGGAATGAGGAGGCAGTTGCAAAACATTTCGGAGTTTGGGATTCTTCCACTTCCCCTGGAGACTCAAATGGTTTTCGTTTTTTAGGCCAACTCCGAGGACTTTGATCTTGGACTTGCATTTTCCACTGTTGACTGAGTCAATTTGATTTCATTTCCCTTTATATTATGATTCAATTTTTGACCGGTTGTTAAAAAAAATAAAAAAATAAAAAAATAAAAAAAAATAAAAGGATGAAGAAGATTGGACGCCCCCATACTATGGGACTTTTCTCCATTCCAAGTTACTTTACAATTGAATCCAATGGTTAAAAGAGGAGGTAATTAAGTGTTATTTTATAAATAATTTAAATTTTAGTGTTAATATTAAAAAAAATTAATTTTTTAAATATATTAAGTTAACATAAGAGACAATGTAATGAGTATAAGATTAATGTTGAGTAGGTGAAAGTTAATTTAAAAATATCATAACCATAAATAAAAGAAAAAAAGGTACCTAGAATTAACCCATAAAATTCTAGCACATTCTAGATCAATAGACTATAGGTTGATATGTATATATATTGTAATATCTCAAATTTTCGGGAATTTTATCATTTAAGTTAGGGACTTGATTGTGAGAAAAGATTGTTTTGGGGCCTAATATGAATATTTCAAAAGTTTAGGGACTTAAAGAGGGAAAATGATTTGGATAAGGATGAGCTTCTTTTCTCTTTCT